CGAATTGAGACCCGAGAACAGGTTTTTAAATTGTTTACTATTTAAAAATACGCAGACTAAATGAACGCTGTTATGGCTTATTCATAAATGAGTAATTATGTCTTGCATATAAATGCATTATTAAAAAAATCTGATGTGGACAGCACTTGACATCTTTTTATAGCGTACTAAATTATGCACTTTTTTTGCTATACTTCATTCAAGCTTATTTCTAAAATTATTGTTACTTAATTAACTGACATCTCGAGGCAAGCTGAAAAACAACGGAAAAAACTGCAAATTGTGAAACTAAATATTTCGAACAATTTTTGTCGTTCAGTCGGTCACAAAAGTATTCGAACATCGGTACCCATTCAGAAAATACAATTTGCAGGCGGAAAAAAATGGCAGTCATGGTTAAAACTATTTTTCTCTGAACTTTTAAATGCGTCTCCTTTCATACTTGAATGTGTTGCGAGAACTTTGGAAAATTGTTCTAGTTTAAGATACGTCAATATCGTGGAAATCTGGAGTTTGAACGAGTTGCTAGAATTGTGAATAACTTTGGTTATTAGTAGTTACAGTGAATTCATGACAAATTCCAATGAAGTGCTTTCTATATTAATCTCCCTCATTATTGAAAACCGTTTAGAAAAAATGAATTCAGCGAGGTCCAATTTTTCCGATAAATTCTTCAAACTTGTCCTGAAAAAATTGTAAATTATCTTAACGTTGGGTAAGACATAAAACTGTAAAGGTAGACGTATTTTTAGAGTTGGTTGGGAAAATATTTTCAGAGCTTGGAGAAAATCCATTATTTCTTTTCCATTATGAAGAATCCAGGCTGGAGGACTACATTGTATTGCATCTTCAACAGCACGCAGTGATCTGAAGTGAAACTCGTAATCGTTATACAGATAGAGATGATCTCATTCTTAAACAAATGGTAACGTCTCATCGTCGACTGGATTGTTGGTGTATTTAATTATGGCAAAGCACACTAGGGCTATCTGCCTAAGGGGAGGAATGCCTTCGTGGAGGACTTTCTAAGGGAAACTGGCTCGTATACACGTTACACATGGGGAAAACCACGAAAACATCCATGCAGCCAGCCCGTTCGCGGGATTCGAACCTCGGACCGAACTACCAGTGTTCAGCGACTTTACCGCTCGGCCGCTGGTGGGCCCATCGTCGACTGGAAAAATCTCCCAGAGAGAATCTGATTCAGAAATAAATAAATAAATAAATAAATAAATAAATAAATAAATAAATAATAAATAAATAAATAAATAAATAAATAAATAAATAAAATAAAATAAACTTGTTACTTTTAATGGTGTCTTCTAATCTATTTTTAGAAAGCATGACATCATTTTTAATTAAATAGAAAGTCGTTTTTTTAATTCTGAGTCAGGTATTCTCTGAGAGATTTTTCCCAGACCATTTCTTTAAGATCCAATACAACATGGTCCACCGATAGGGATAAAAGCTTCACCATAATGTAAATTCTTCACTAAAGTTATGGGATCTTTTACATTTAAACTATTTTTTGACTTTTTCAAAATCTTTTTTTCAGAGAATTCTTTTTCAACACCGTTGATGGGCAGAGTAAATATCCTTGGCTAATCTACACAATTTTTCAATGACGATGTGTTACTGTAATATTAGAAAAATGGTCAGCAACAATAGAATCTGTTTTCCAACAAATCACTTGAACAAATTCTTTTCGACACCATTGATGTTCAGAGTAACATCTTTGGATAGAATGGACACATAGAAATTTTAATGATGACCGGAATATATTTGTTCAGTAGCCGTGTGTAACATGTGACCTATAAAAATTGCAATGACGATTTTAATCCATTACCAGAAAGACATTTAACTTCAACAAATTCTTCTCGACATCGTTAATGCTCATCTTTGGATAGAATGACCTGATGGAAATTTCAGTGGCGACCAGAAATTGTGCCTATGCTTGACAGTAGCCATGTATAAGGTGTGTCCTATAAACGTTTCATTGCTGACCAGAGAATTAAGTTTGACTAGCAACAACAGTGAAATCTGTTTCAGATTTCACTTCAACAAATTCTCTTTCCACATCGTTGATGTTCAGAGTAACACCTTTGGATAGAATGGACTCAAGGAAATTTCAGTGACGACCAAAAACTGTGAATATGTTTGACCATGTATGAGATATGACCTATAAAAAAATTTGAATCCAATACCAGAAATGATAATTACTTTTGACTATAATGTATGAAAATAATTCTACGTAGAGGTGGAAATGCCACCAGAAATTGTGAATACCTTTGAATGTAGGGCTATGTAGAAAGAACTATCAAACTATCGAGAGACTTTTAAGATGATCCTACTGTTATTTCAATACGAGAAGTGTGCCCAATTTCTGTATTGACTTCTCATGTCGCTTGTAAGGTTGAAATAGATTCAGCAAGAACCTTGTGAAATCTTTTCTGGTGACTTTAGCAATTTAGACTCAAATCATAAAAAAGTTATATATTATAAAATTGGGTAACAGATGTTTCTTCTTTGGCAAAGTTGTAATGGAGAGAGTAATAATATTTGGAATACTCTGGGGAAACATTTTCAGAAAGTTCGGAGAAAATCAATCTCTCAATAAAAAAAGAATGGTTCTTAGAATACTTCTAAGAACAGATTTTGAATCTCAAAATGGAAAAAGAAAGAGTTACTTTTAATGATGTCTTAAACGACATCCTGAAAATGAACAAAAAATGTTTTTTATGAGTCAGATATTCTCCGAGAGATTTTTTCCAGAGCATTTTTTAAAGCTGAGATCTTTAAACTGTGGGTCACGACCCCTATGAGGGTCGCAAGACCTGCAGCAGGGGATCGCCAAAAATTTTAGCAGTTTTGATATTTCTTTAACTTATTATAATAATTTTAAAATTAACAAATATTTTTACACAATGTATCTGAAAATAGATAAATATAAGACAATACAGACAAAGAAAATACGAAAACATTCCGGCGCATTCTTTTTATAATATAAACGTTCATTTTACTTGCTTTGTAGGTGACACTGTCATTTCGTCTGTTCGTTATTGGGTCCTACAAAATTTTCGTAAATATTATGGAGTCCAGGTGTCGCCAAAAAAATCTCAGTTTAAGAAACCCTGTCTTAAAGAATGAGATCATCTCTCTATATAAACACTTCGCTTCAAATCACTACGTGATGTTGAAGAACATGAACTCGATACAACATGGTCCTCTGATCTGGATACAAGTTTTATCATAACAAAAATATCTACCTTTCTTCATTCAAGTTGTGTAATCTTTTTACAATTCAATTATTTTTCCTCTTTCAATTCACAGAAATCTTTAGAAAGATGGTCAGCTAGGCATTTATTGGAAAGTTGCCCGATAACTTCAGAAAATTATTCAGAAGCTTTGCGAGCTTTTCAAGAGCGTTATGGGGAGAAAGATATTCTTATAGAAGTGTATATCAGGGAATTTTTAAAATTAATTACAGCAAATGTTCAAGCTAGGAATAAAGACAGATTATCATTGTGTGACTTGTTTACCAAGGTAGAAACACATTTAAGTTCTTTAGAATCCATGGGGTTTGATATAGAAAGTAATTCAGCCTGGCTATAGCCTATCATAGAATCCAGCTTACCTAATAATATTTTAAGAGCATGGCAGAAATACAGTGTTTTGGAAAAGGAAGATTCTGATAGTGACGCTAGTTTCCTGAAGTCGAGTTTAACGTTGTTAGTGAACTTTTTGAAGAGGGAGGTAGCGGGTGAAGAAAGATTACAATTAGTCAGGTCAGGCTTAAGTATTATCCCAAAAGACAAAGTAAAAGAGAAAATGCTGAAAAGGGATAACAAGTATTCCATTGCAACAGGTTTATTCGCTGCTAAAAAATGTCATGTTTGTTCTGTGGTAAGTCGCATGAAAGTAAGGACTGCGTAGTCTCCAGATCGTTCTCTCTGGAAGGAAACATAAAGAAAGTCAGGGAAAAGAATTGTTGTATGAAATGTTTACGCTTTGGCCCACTTGCCAAAATGTGTAAAGTTTTCGTATGATGTTATGTCTGCTCAAAACCTCATACAGAGCATTTCTGTTCTGAAACAGGTAAAACGAAAGAAATCAGTTATAAATGCAAACCCCCTAGCGAATACTTGCAAATCAGCAGTATTCAAAGGAAGTAGCCCTCGTGACACTAGAAATACTAATTAAGAGTAATAAGAAAATTATTCAAAGGAATTAGCCCTCATGACACTAGAAATACTAATTAAGAGTAATAAGAAAATTAAGAAGGTTAGGGTTTTATTGGACAGTGGGTTCCAAAGGAGTTATTTGAAAAGCAGCGCGAAATAACTTGGTCCTAAGCCTCTCGCTATAGCAGCTATTACCCACACGGTATTTGGAGCTGCAGAAATAGAAGCTAAACCTCATAGTAAATATGAAACTAAATTAAGTGCTCCGAGTAATGGTCACAAATTAGTTATCACAGCCGAATACCTTGACCGAGAAAAGGTATTAGGAAAATTCCACGCAATCCAAAAGAGTCTGTTCTAGAAGAGCTTAAGAAACATAGACTATGGATATCAGATATCGGTACTGGGTGTCTAGAAATAGAAATTTTAATTGGCAGCGACGTTTATAGACAACTTCTAACGGGGCGAATCAAGCAGGTGTTTTTTTTCCAGGTTTTGTCTGGTATAACAGCAATTCAGACAAAACTTGGACGGACAGTATGTGGTTAGTTAAAGAATCCATCCTAAGGTTACGTGAGTAGTGGTACAGCTAACGTTGATGACTAATTTATCTCTGAGGGAACTTAATTTTCCAGATTTATTGCAGCTAGAAACAATAGGAATTAATGATTACGCTGAAATGTTGTCTAAGTAGGAAGAAGAAGAGCTAGCCCATGACTTGTTCCTTAAAGAACTTACGAGAAGTGAAGACGGGTGTTACCGTGTTGGTCTTCCCAAACCTTCCCTCAAATATATGAATCCAAACCTTCCCTCAAATATATGAATCCAAACCTTCCCTCAAATAGAAATGAAGCAGAAAGAAGGTTGTTTAGCACTACCAGAAGACTGAAGAAGTTAAATAAATTTGAAAATTATGACCTTGTCTTTAAAGAATGGCAGACAGAGAATGTCATACAGGAAGTCTCAAAAGAGGAATTAGAAGGCGTAGGAGGCCACTACTTGTGTCACCATACAGTTATTAAGCCAGAGAGTGCCACTAAGTCTATCAGACCAGTTTTTGACACCTCGTGCAAAGTTGGAAGAGCATCATCTCTAAATGACTATGTCTTCAAAGGACCAAACTTGTTCGAAGAAATTCCAGCTATATTATTGAGATTTCGAGAAAGGGCTATTGCTGTTGTATTCGACATTAGAAGAGCTTTCCTCCAAACTGAAGTTAAGGAAGAAGAATTTTTGAGATTTTTATGGTGGAAGAAGACATATAAAATTAAAGTCTACCAACATAACAGAATGTTATTTGGAGCTACTTATAGCCCTTTTTTTCAGCGCGGTTATAAGGAACCATTTGAACAAGTTTCCAGAAATCAGAACAGTTACTGACAAACTCCTGAAATGTTGACAACTGCGTAACCTCCGGCAGACAGTGTATTCGAATTAGAAGAATTCATCTCGAAGTCAACTGAAATTATGGCTGAAGCTAAGATGGATTTGAGATTATGGCAATTCGGTCCTGTAGAAGAAATAAAAAATTGTCACCTGAGAACAGAAGTTTGTTTAAAAGAGATCTTACAACTACAGTTTCGGTTTTGGGGATTACATGGAATAGAAAGGAGGATTGTTTTGTGATTTGCAATAAATTTGACGCTGAAATAGAAAAATCCTACTAAAGGGAAGATCTTGTCTATAACACAATGTATTTACGATCCCATCGGTTTTCTCGTCCCAGCATTGCTGCCACCCAAGCTAATGATTCAGGAAACCTGGTCAGCTAAGTCAGAATGGGATGCTCCGCTTCCAGAGAAAATTCAAAAGGACTTTCAGAAATGTTACAGTGAATTGAAACAATTATCTAACCTGGATAAACAGACGTATAGGTTACGGAAATAAAGAAAAATGGTCCGAGCATGTTTTTTGTGACGCGAGTCAATGCATATGCAACAGTAATTTTCCTGCGCGGTGAAGATGATAATAGGATTTCGGTACAGCTTCTAGGATCAAAATCACGACTTGCTCCAAAAAGGACTTTGACAATCCCGTGTCTAGAACTTCTTGCTCGTGTTCTGGGAGCCAAATTAACAAACTATATCCGTGAGGCTCTGGATGTTCCTACAGTACCAGTTTATCACTGAACTGACTCTTCAACAGTTATAGCAGGAATAAGAAGAAATGACCAATGGGGTACTTTTGTGGGTAACAGAATCAGAGAAATATGCTAACTCACAGAATCGCACCAATGGTATCCCAGGTAATCTAAATCCGGCGCACCTGCCATCTCGTCGTTGTAACCCTAGGCATCTTATCGAAACTAGATGATGGGAGGGACCAAAATGGTTAAAGGACGAAGAAAATAATTGGCGAAAGTCGGAACAGGTTCCTAATGAAGATTTAGTATGTCAGAAAGAAAGAAAACTGCAATATCATTATTTACTTGTACAAAGTAGATCAACTCATGAATTATGAAAGAGAATTTCCAAATTTTGCAGATTTATAAATATTTGTTGGGTGAAAAGATTCATATCCAAATGTAGAGATAGAAATTATTTTTTTCCATCTGAGCTTTTGGTCGGAGAAACGAAAGAAGCAGAGAAGTTCCTTTGGTCAAGAATTCAGTTAGAAAATTTTGGTGATGTCTCAAATACTGTCAAAGGTCTTGTTGTTGTGAAAGATCAAAATAACATAATACGAGTGAAAACCAAGTTTTTAGAATGTGATGACCAATTTTCATTCAAATATCCAATTTTGTTGCGGTCAAAACATCACATAGTAAATTGTTTAGTACGAGTTGTCATTTAAAGAAAATTTATTCCCTGAAACTTCGAAAAAAGTACTGAAAATGCCAAGATATAAAAGATCAGTTGAGAAATAGATTCCGAAAAGAATATTTGAAAACTCTCGTTCAAAAATCAAGAGAAAAGGCTCAAGTGATCCAGACGGATGATGTAGTGCTAATTGAACTAGACAACCGAAAGAGACTTAAATGGCCAAGAGGTAAAGTCACAAAATTGTTTCCAAGTAGAGACGGTTGCACACGTGTGGCAGACGTAAAAACTTCTTTAGAAACTTTTGTATGACCGATTCGTAAACTTTTACCATTTGGAGATAGCTAAGAACGATAATCTAGTAACCCAGTTGATAAACTGTATGAACATTTTCAGAACTCAACTTTAGAACTTTAATTTTTTATTACTTGAAATTTTCATACATATTAGTTCTTATTTCATTTTATTGTTTTTTAGTAATGATGTAAATTTAATTCTAATGTTTAATTTCTGGTTGACACCATAAATTTAAGGTGGGAGTAGTACGCTAGGTGTATGTTAAAGTGTTTCTTTTCCTCATTAGATAGCGCCACGGGTTCCACTTGTGAAAGAAAATTTAAACCTTTGTTCCCCCCTTTTTTTGTAAACAATAGACAGTTCGGTTCGGGAGTCCGTTCCAGGACGGATAGATTGATTCGTACAGCCACGAGAGAAAAAGGCTGTCAAGAAAATGTACTTAACTATCATTTTTTCCTTTTGAATGTTTTATGTAAATAAAATGTGATGTCAACAAATGAAACAGAAATATGTTTTCTGTGAAGAAGATTCTGCTTTCCAGCTGAGACATCAAGGTTAATTTCAACGAAGCATTAGAGAAGGTAAATGAAATTTTTCTTGTTTTTAAATCAGATACATAAAATAAAACTTGCCTACGTTAGTGGATGCTGACAACTTCCATCAACAGTAGTTGATTAATTATGTAATAAGTAATGTTAAAACATTTGAAATTCATAGATTTGTTTAATTTTACGAAATCTCTAAAATCCTCCACAAATTTGCGAAACTGTTTTGGGCTGAGCTGAAAAGCAGCTAAAATCAAAGTTCGAGGTGTTTTTAATATTACCTTAGAGGGGGGGGAGAGAAATGCTTTTTTTAGCTTATAAACAGTGGAGGTATAAAGTGTTTTTACAAAGGACTAGGCACTAAAACGTAAATGTTAACTTTCAGAAAGGACCTAAGGAAAAAATAGAACCGAATATTAAAATTTAAAATTACTTTAGTCAAACTAGTAGAACTACTTTGACTAATTTTAATCTTAGGTCCTTTTTACTTCCTTGTACGAAGTAAAAAGGAAGTATTGTAATCGCGAAAAGTTTCAGGCAGCATATTTCAGCGAAAAATATGCATTTTGACCCCTATCGAATGCAATTTAACGATGTTTTTGGCTGATATCTGTACGTAAGGACAGAATAAAAGACTCGTTTCATCCAAATTATAAAACTGCTTTAAAATTAATTCTGAAGAGAATTTTTCGTGGCGTACGTATCTCGCATAACTCAAAAACAAGTAGCCTCAGAACGTTGAAATTTTGTATATAGTATTGCTATAACATGTAGATGTGTACCTCGTATTTTGGTTGCAATCGGCCGCACCAAAAGTATATAAATATATTTATATATATATCCACTCTGTTACCCGGCTCAGTGATCTCAGTGATCTCAGTTTCTTTACTCTTATATGTTTATAAATTGTACATTTTTTGCTTTAAAAATGATTTAATTATGTTGTTTTTATCTTCGGGTTAAGGTTTTTATGCTTTTGTTAACCTGTATGCAATATTTTTAGAATTATCAACAATTTTAAAGTTATTTAAGTGCCGCTAAGCCTTTTCTTTATGGCGGCCATTGATTGTTTACATTTGAAACAGTAGACTAGTGGATTTGTTGCCAATCTAGAGAAACTTAGCTTCGCAACAACAAAGATAACGAATTCATTTATTATTGCCAATTAAATCGTGCTTAATCCTTTCTGGAATTTTTTTCGATGAAATAAGCGTTTCAGATTTAGTTCGTAATTTTTAATATAGATATTTTCAGTTTTTATGTATTTTTGCTTTCTCGCGAAGTGAGAACAGAATTTATTGAATGAGAAATACTCATTCGTCTGTGAAAAACTGTTTCTTTTTTGTTTTGTTTGCTTAATTTCTTTTATACATCATTTTAGCTTTCTATAGTATTTGAATAGAAGTGGCAACGATTAGATAATTCTATTCTTTAAATGATATAAATTTTGTGCCTTATGAGTTATAATATGAACGAAATATAAGTGAATCTACCGCCAGAGTGTCGCTATGGTAAACAAATACTAGAGTGCATTTTAAAGAATGCATTTATTCTATTGTGGTTTATGCGCTGTCGGCGAAGTAGATTTAATTCAATCCAATAAGTTTAAATGAAATGCAAGAAAAAATGCGTATAATTTAATATTCCGTACAAGGAAGTCATGTGGTGTACACATCAGATTTTTTTAATTCCTTGTACGAAGTTGTAGAAACATTAGGTTATTTAGAGGCCGGAGAGATGAAAAATTAGCAACGCCTTCATCGGGAGTCGAACCGTGGACCTCTCAATTACGCGCTGAGTATGCAGACTACTACAGCTCGAAAGCTCGCTGAGAAGGCGGGATAAATACCTTATAAAGTAAAGGAAGTATTGTAATCACGAAAAATTCAGGGTACCATATTTTAACCAAAATTGCCATTTTGGCCGCTATCGAATGCAATTTAATGATGTTTCTGCGTGATATCCGTACGTAAAGACAAAATACAGGCCTCTTTTTCCTCAAACGAATTATAAAACCGATTCAAAATGGATTCGGAGGAGATTTTTTCGTGGCTTCTGTATGTACGTACGTATCTATGTATGTCTCTCGCATAACTCAAAAGCGAGTAGCCTCAGAACGTTGAAATTTTGTATGTGGGACTGCTTTAACATGTAATTGTGCATCTCCCTTTTTGGTTGCAATCGACCGCACCAAAAGTAAATATATATATATATATATTTACTCTGTTACTCTCCTCCGTGTGCTCAGTTTTTTCTTCTTATATGTTGGTAAATTGTGAATTTTTTTTTTTTTGCTTTAAAAATGATTGAATTGTGTTGCTTATACCTTTGTTAACCTGCATGCAATATTTGTAGAATTATCAACAATTTAAAAGTTGTTTAAGTGCGCCTAAGCCTAATTTTGTACCATAGCAGCAATATTTGTTGACATTTAAAATTTAGCAGAATAGTGAATTGGTTGCCAGTCTAAAGAAACTAAGCTTCACAACCACCACTGTTTCTTTCTTTCTTTTTTTTTTTTTTTTTTTTTTTTTTTTTTTTGTCTAATTTCTTTTGTACATCGTTTTAGATTTATTATAGTATTTCAGTAGACCATGTGGCAACGATTAGCTAATTCTTCAGATGATATAATTTTTGCGCATTCTAAGTTATAAAATGAATGAGGCGTAACGCGGTTAAGTGAACCTTGCACCAGAGTGTCGCTATGGTAAATAAATATAGTGAATTTTAACGAGTGCATTTATTTTATTGTGGTTTATGCGCTATCGGCGAAGTAGACTTAGTAATTCAATCCAATAAGTTTAAATGAAATGCAGAGAAAAATCCGTGTAATTTAATATTCCATGCAAGTCATGTGGTGTATATATATATATATATATAAAATTTTTTCTTTAACTTAGCAGCCATATTTGTTAACATTAAGCTCTGTTAGCAGAATAGCGGATTTGTTGCCAATCTAGAGAAACTAAGCTTCGCAACAACATGATAAGATAACGTCTTCTTTTATTATTGCGAATTAAATCATGCTTAATACATTCTTAAATTATGATTTAAGTTATTAAATTATCCAATATATTGAACCAACATAGTGTCCACAACAAATAAGCCAGTTTCTACGCCTTCAGAGTCTTTTTGCAGAGTGCGACCAAAAGGAAACTTTTAGTTTTGTGCACCGAAAATTCTGCCGTTTTGCCTGCTGGCCGAATTGTTTGTTTTTGCGCAGAAACTCTAATTTTAATTGTAAAATTTGTTTTTAATTGTTTGAAATGTACTTGGAGTTTTATGTTTTCCTGAATCTTTCCATTTTTAGTGAAGAAATTTTGAGTTTTTATGTATTTTTTCTTTGCCGAGAAGTGAGAACTGAATTAATGGAATGAGAAATATATCTCTAACGAAATTCGAGGAAATATGTGTTTCGTATTAGCATTAAATATTGTCGCCACTCTGACTCAGACAGAGAATGTTTACGAGTAGCGCATGCGCATTAGGTAAGCGGTGCTGAATCATCTGTGAAGAACTGTTTCTTTTTTTAAAATTTCTTTTACACATCGTTTTAGATTTATAGTATTTGAATAGAACATGTGGCAACGATTATATAATTATTCAGATGATATAATTTTTGTGCATTCTGAGTTGTAAAATGAATGAGATGTAACGCTGTTAAGTGAACCTATCGCCAGAGTGTCGCTATGGTAAAATAAATATAATGAATTTTAAAGAGTGCATTTATTCTTTTTTAGTTTACGCTCTATCGACGAAATAGAATTCAATAAGTTGAAGTGAAATGCAGGAAAAAATACGTATAATTTAATATTCCATGTAGTGTACACATGTAGTCATGTAGGAAGAAATACGTATAATATAATATTCCATGTAGCGTACACATCAGATTTTTTTATTTAAATAAAGACACAGTTTGTTACAGTATTTTGATGATAAAAGTGAATCAGATTTTAGCTTACCTTCTTTTTGTTGAAAAATACACAATTACAACACTGATCTTATCGTCTTATCAGCTTTTTAACATTGTTTATCATATCAGACATTACTCATTTCTGTTCTCTGTGAAGTGCGTTGTTTCCTTCTGTTCGAGGAAAGCAAATTCGTGCAATCACAATTTCTCCACACTTTAAAGCTTTTTTAGATTGAAAGCTGGTTTGTTCTCATGTGCTTTTCTCGTTCCTGTATAAAGTTTTTCCAGTATACAATTAAACTCGAACTTGCTGTCAAAATTTTTAATTCTAGGTGTAGTTCATCCAATAAGCCATTTGCTGCAAAATATTTTTGTAGACCATTCATTAATATGGCTGTTGATAGCACAAATACTTTACTGTCGTTCGCTTCTGTGGAACGAAAAGTAATTTAGTTTGTGATTTACGATGTTATTCTCTGCTTGAAGAGAAAACAAAGTTATTTATTACATTATTCACAGATCTAGGTTTCTTTATGGAGGTACAAATGGTTTACTCCACTAAATTATTGATGACATTATATTCTTCGGTTAGATGGTTGATGAAATTCTTCACACAGCTATCGGAGTCACTAATTTGTTAGGATGCAGAAACATGTAGTAAATAATTAATAGTAGCAAACCAGCTGCTAAGCTGCTGACAACAGAGGAAAGGAGAGGAATGCGAAACCATAGATCTGGATCAGCTCTCAGGTACCACAGAGTAACCAAAGTAACATTTTCAATCCAAATGATAATATAATAAATTGTATATTTCCACCTGAAAGAAAAGGAGAAAATGTTAAAATGCCAGATAAAACTATTTGTGTCGTTGCACATTTTTGTCATTAATTTTTTTATACAGAGCTAAAGCTTTAAATGATGTGTAATTGAGAAAGTCTGTGTAAGGTATTTTATATTAGTTAACTAATTATTATAATTAAACCTTTAACATAACTTCTCCTTTTCGTAATCCTAATCAGAATGCAAATTAATTGATTAATTATTCAAGTTGAGGGTTATGAATGTTAAAGAGATAAAGCTTATCTGCAGCTGCTTCCTGTCGTAAGCACTGCCATTGATTATTCCAGCTTTAGCCATTTTACTATCCGTCGTTGAAAAGGTGCCGCTAAATTATTTGAACTAGTTGAAGTAGATCATTTTGAGAGTAGTCTCTGACTATATTACTTGAATTTGAATTTGTGTTATTTTAAATACCCGCAAGTGGCGGAGTTTTGTTTGTAAACAGAATCTGTTAAATTTAAAGAGTTAACAAAAATGTTATTTTAACATTCTCAGGAGTTGAGAATAACTCCATTGTCAATGTAGTAGCGTGTAGAGGACATTGATTTAAACATAACTGAAATAAATACAATTTAATAGCTATTTTAATTCAAAATTTGGAAAACGTTTTCTTTAAACGGGGTATATAGAACATAATGTTAATTACATGTAAACCATCTGACGTTTTTTACTAACAAATTTCTTCGTTATTTCCTAACAAAGACATTTTATGAAAATTTACTTCATAGTTGGTTAAACGTAACTTTAGCGTAAAACTTGCTAGGATTATTTTCCTACAACAGAGATGCCTTTTATAAAAATATGTAGAGTCATAAGGATTATTTTGGAAACAGGAGAAATGATAAATGTGCGATGATATGCAACCCCTTGATAAGTCTGTCTCCTGCCTGCTCAACAATCACTCACTTACGCATATTTTAGGAATAATAAATTAAATTTTTTAAAACAGTATATTTTTTCATGGTTTTAGATAAGTGCAATTAATTTACATATGCTCTTAGAATTTAAATGATAATGTAAATTAGTTTGCAGCAATAATAATTATTTTTATTTCTTTGCAATTAAAATTTCTAATTAAATTTTAAAATTTTAATTTTATATTTGCTTTTATACGAATAAAGAATATTTGTTAAATTCAAATTTCATTCAACTTTACTATTTTCTTCTGAAACAATATATATATATATATATATATATATATATATATATGTACATGTATGTATGTAAAATATAAAATATGTAACTCAAAATTATTAACTTTAATTTGGCAACAGTCTCTTTAATTCTTCATTTTAATTTACTTGTCACCCTTTTCTATTCCAAACTGTTTATAATAATTTTTGACTTCGTCTTTCCGAATTAATTTGTTCATGCTTCCTTATGTTATCCTCCTGCACTGCGGATGGCTGTCATCCAGTCATAGAGTTCAAAATGTAAACAAAGGAACTGAGTCTTTAAATACAGTTGCTAATTTTGCGCAGACTTTTTACCTGTTTCATCGCAGTACTTTTGATGCCGTACTTTATAACTATTTGCCTTTCCTCCCGCACGAATAGTCGAATGCCATAAACAACCCACAAGGGAAATTAAAAAATACTACCGAACCAACGAGATATATGAAGTCGTTGTGGCTAGCAGCAAGGCGAACTGAAAAAAATGGTTGCGCAAATAGTAACAGCAGTATTTAAAGACTTAAGTTCCTTTTTTTAAATTTTGAGCTCTGCTATCGGATGAGAACCATCCGTAACGTAGTAGATTACATAAGCAAGCATGAATGAATTCATTTGGAAAGATGCAGTCCAGAAAAATTATTCTAATTAATATAGAACAGATAGGGAAGATAGCCAGATTAAAATGAGGAATCAAAAGGACTATTGCCGAGTTAAAGTTAATGATTTTGAATTACATATTTGCTGCTTAAAATTTTTTTTAAAAGTTTTTAACCCGATTTTCATGCATTCAAAATTTACGTATTTTATTATCTTTTATTTATATATTATTTTATTTATTGGATTATTTATATGTTTATGTTTTTATCACTATAATTTAACATTTTTTACACTGCTTATTTCGACCTGTAGGGGTTAGACTGATGAATAAACAGATTACTTTAATTATTTTTGTGAGATGATTTTAAGTCATTTTAGGCTATAATCTCCCATTTTAAACAAAAATAACTTAGTTTTGTTTCCTTAAGTTTTGACTTTAAAAATTTAATTGTTTTTGTTTGGTAGCAGTTGTTTTAGCAGTATTGCCATTTCTTAGGTTCATTTAATTTGATGAATCCCATGTCCATGGATTCTGAATACTTGTATTACTTTTTCTTAGTCATTAATCACTCGAAAGTATTCTCATTACAATTTATTAAATTGTAAGGTTGCTATTAATTTGGTAGGTTTTGGCTTATTTGATTACGGCAAAGCACTCGAGGGCTATTTGCCTGAAGGGAGGGATGCTTTCGTGAAGGACTTTTCAGAAGAAACTGGCTCGTATGCATGTTACATATGCGGAAAACCACGAAAACGCCCATACGGTCAGCCTGTTCGCGGAATTCGAACCGAACTACCAGCGTTCAGAGACTACCGCTCGGTCGCTTGTGGGTGCTATTAATCTGGAAACTAAAATTAAGTACTGCAAACATACTAGACAAGTTAACGAGTTATTGCTACGACTGAAATATTATGACAAAGTCTTGAAAAAGTTTAAATAACCTTTTCATTTAATCTGAATTTTGAACATAAAAGGCACAATTTGTACTACAGACAAACCATCACTTGTGACGATATAAGTTAAGCAATAACAGATAATTCATTTCGAAGGTTGATAACACAGTCTAAGACGACACAGTCAAATAAATAGGTTATAAGGTGGTTCAGGTAGTTTTGCCGGAGTGTAAGTTTAAAGTATAGGCTAACAAGAGAATACAAAAAGCCGGAATAATTACTTTTAGATATAGCTCGCAAAATTCTAACTGGCAAACTTTCTTTCGCTAATTTAAAAACCCTCAGCTTATATACTCGAAAAGTTGATTTGCATTCTGGTGAGGAATACTAAAACAAGACGTTAGAGTTCAAATTAAAATCATATTAACGAGTTAACTAACATATAAACCTTACAAAATTAGTTCTTTTTTTTTCATAATTTTACCCTTTTTGCTGGTTGAAATAGTTCACTCTTTATGTTAATCACCTACCATTCTCAGCATTTTTTTTAAAATTCCTCTTTTAAATCCTGATTCTTAAAATTTAATTACTTTTAATTTATAACAGTTTTTGAAAACTATTAATTGCTTATTGCTTTCAATTTGATCAATCGATCTGGTTTCTTACTTCGAGAATTCCTATTTTATAATCTTTAAATTTTATGCAATATTTTTTGTGTTGGGTCACGTCGAAGCAGATTCATCAGAAGTCTTGATGATTTATTAAAAAGAATAAAAAACTTTTTAAAACTAAATTATACTTAATTTTTTGCATGCTGCATTTGTATAATACACAATTTTTATAACCTTTCATTATTTTAATTAATTAATTTCTTTATCTGGCAATTTCATTTGATTTATTTCGTGAATCCATAATCATCCAGGCAGGGCTTAATTTCTAAAATTAGAAGTGTATAAGCCCTATGGAAGACCGTCAGCAAAGAGGAACAAGAGTAAATAAATAAATAAAATGACTATTAAACTCATTAATGATTTTAAAATTAAATAGTTAATTTTTATCAAATTAATTAATAGTTATTTAATTAATGTTTATTAATTGTTATTTAATCAATAATTATCATATAATGAATTATATTTTTTTATTGGCGATTATTAAGAAATTAATTAATTATAATTTAATTGATAATGATTAGATAATTAATTAATTATTGAAATAATTAAATAATTAAAGATTAAAGTAATTAAGTAATTGAAATTAAATTAAATATAAAGAGATAAATTAAAATTTAATAAGCGATTTTTAATATAATTTTATTGCTCAAAATAAAATTTTCGAGATAAAATTTCTATTGAAATTGTTATTCAGTTACATAAAAGAAGTGCTGCAGCCTTCTTATTTAGGGCTTCGGTGCGCTCCGGCTAGAATTATGATTTATTACAAAAACTAAGAAGCATCGGCCCAATAAGCTCTGATCGTAAGGAAGGAAAAGTTCTTTTATCATCACAAAAATTAAATATACTTAAAGTATAGTTGATAAAAATTCAGATAATGCTAAAAACAGCGCGAAAGAGAATGAGGGCGTGAGAGTATGAGTGGGTGCAAACAAAAATTGAGGGGAATCTTGATGAAGAGATAACGTTCAATTTAAGACCGCGGATTTCTGCTGATATAGCCGTCAAGCGGATGCGTGACCTGAATCTGAATCCTAAGGATGAATGTTGAATTTGCTGGTTACATTTAGTTGCATTAGTGGATACTGTGGGAAGACGATGCTTGAGCATAGGAGCATGCATTATAGGACGTGCTTGAGCAGTTTATCTCAGTATTTCACTCTTATTGTACTCGCTGTCACTTAACGCACATTTAAGAACACAAATTTTCCTTCCTGCGAGGATAACTATAACTATCGATAGCAATAGGCCAGATAGGATGGCACTGCGAGAAATTTACGCGTTCCTAAACAAACTCCCCAAAATTTATTGCCTTTCTTAAAGGGAAAGGTTTCCGCATATAAGTGAGGGGACTGTAAATTAAATGAACGTCTCATGTTCATGAGTGTATTTCTAGAGAAATAGAGTATTGCAAGGTCTGCTTTTTGCTAAACTAAAACATTAGGAATTCTAATTTTTTTCTTTATTGAAATTGTGGCTCAGTTTTATAAAAAGAAGTATCGGAGCTCATTTTATTTAGGGCTCCGGTGCGCTCCTGCTGGAATTGTAATTTATCTTAAAAATTGAGAAGCACCGGAGCCGGGCTCCGGCGCAATTTAAGCACTGCATCCAGGTATAATTCACAAACATGGCTCTGTTGAAAAATTTCGGTTGCTCCTTGAAAAAGAACAAAGAATTTTCAACTGCTTGTTATCATATTATTACATTATATTTATTTTTGTTCCAATTTTGATGTATATTCTTCCTGTTCGACTGTTAACCATCAAATTTTGATTTAATTATCAGGTATAGGTAGTAGGTATCTTTGTTATATTTATAACTATATTATATAAAATATCGGTTCTAATGCTTTTATTAATTTATCTGTATAAATCCTAATTTATTTGAAATTGTATTACATTCATGATATTTGTGAACATAAACAAAAAATCTTAAAAGTATATTTAAGCTGTATAAACTAATACTAAAAATGAATAGTAGGCTTATTATCGATTTTTATGATCTTATTCCTTTTACAAATACGTGAATATTGTTGCACATATAGGGTTTTAACAATTAAAATGAAATATTTGGCAAATGCAATAAATAAAAGTACTCCACATTTTGAGACAGTGTATGCTTAGCTTGAGAAACTAAATGATTCTGAATATAATCAATAACACTTTTTAAATAACAGCAGAGTATGAAGTTTGAATTTTAAGCAGTATTACAGGTAATGATTTTAGGAGTTAAAAATTGTAGGACATAAACAGGTGATATGTCGAAATTAAAAAGAACAAGAAATCTTTGTGATCATCCGATTGGGATATCTCTTACTGAGATAGCAGGTCTTTTTGGTGCATCGAGAGCCGCAGCATTCCGGCTTATATATCTAAAAAAATGAAGCAGTGACTGAAAAACTGGTAATATCCAGCACGAAACCGCTATTTTTCATTCTTCAATTCCGTCGTCCCTTTCGATTTCCTTTCGCCGTCTTTATTTATTAATTTATTTCGTCGTCTTTGTTTTTCTGGAAGAGTTAACACGCGGAGAGCTCCTTTACGCCTGGAATGTGAAGCATGGAAGAGATTTGGGTCGCAGTATTATAGGATTCTTTGGAAAATATTAATTGACATTCACATCACTGTCAATGACTACCGATGGACCAAGACTATCAAATTGTTCAGCGTATTTATTCTTAAAGATGAGCCTGACGTATATCAGGATGATAATGCAGCAACTTACGCTGCAAAACTGAGGATAGAATGGTTTGAAGAGTATGAAAGTGATCTCGAAATTCTTCCATATTATTTGCCATTTCAATATTCATTCCTCGATATGAACACGGGATTTCAATGAACATTCCGTGATATGAATTTAAGTGGAATGAATATATTATTTAGGATATGATAGGTTTCCCTTCTCCAGTGCCATAAAATGAAATAGCTACAATTTTGTGAAAGGTGAGGTTAAAAATTCCTCTAAGGTTTTAACAAGGTTGGTATTGGTCACTTCCGGAAAGAATTGCTGCAATATTGACCTCCAAACGCAGACTTATACCATAGTAATAAAGGCAAAATAACTCCAAATGACTTTTTTTTTCCTTAATTTGATTGTCCAGCTAATACACACATATACTTCTAACACAATTCACATTTATTTCTACCAAACTTTCGAAATGAAAATCTTTATGCCTATCCCAGTCTTAGTGGGTATAAAATACATAAGTAATGCCTCTTTTCTTTTTAATAAAACATATACATACCTTGTAGGTTCATCTTTAACGTTGACAAAGCAAAAGAGATATATGACTCCGATCACGATGTTAAAAATGAGTTCTTCCAAAGGTCTTGGCTGTCCAGATGCGGATGCACAGAAGGATGTTCTTTGAAAAATTAACCAAGCAGTCATCAGACCCCAGTGAATTGCACAAAATACAAAAACCCAGTGCGCGTATAGAGAGGCGAATACAGCGAGGGATAGTACTCTTGATGCGATAACACATAAGTGGCTAAGAAACTGCACAGTCGCTCCTGATTTACTTATATTGCGCTTTGTAGGTATAGATCTTCGTAGGGCTCGGTGATACGAACTCTGGGCCAAGGATAGCTCTATCAGAGCTGCTATTAAGTTGACTGCCTGAGCTCTAGCTGCAATGAAATTCATACGACATTATCAAAGGTATATCAAGTGAGTCATAAAATATGTTAGCAAATGATGAAATAAGAAATAACATATACGAAACAAATGCATAAATTTTAAAATTAGGAAAAAATTGATTTTACATTGGCCATATTATATGCATTTCGACAGAATTTCAAGCATTTCTTTTTTGCAGGAGCAAGATATTCTTCTGGAAGTTTAAATAAGTGTATCATATTCTATCGAAATGTACAAAGCGTATTTAGTTTACATTTATATTAAACAGCAGAAAATTCTTCAACTATTTTACTTAATTTGGATTTGGAGTGAAAAATGTGCAGTGCCCTTACTCGAAATCCGGATAATCGAAATCCCGACCTTCCGAATACGCACCAAGTGTGCTTCTTATTACACCACGAAGGCTTGCGGAAAGATGGGAGAAAATACCTTACATAATGCCCCTTTTAAAGGACGACCTGGGATGAAGGGATCTAGTTGCCAAATCCTGACGGTGACGAATTATCATCCACCGCCTTTTAGTTCGGCCGCCACCTTGTAGAGTTATTAGGATATTTTAAAACAGGAAACGCGAAAAATGTATAGTACTCTCGCCGGACTCGAAGATTGGACCTCTCGAATACGTGTCGTTTATGCTTCCAATTACATCACGAAGGCATACAGAAAGAAGGAAGAAAATGCCTTATAGTATTTGGCAATGACGATTGCTATCAATATTAGACTAGGACATCGACCGGGATATGCGGCAGAGATTCCAGCGAGAGATTTATTCTAAAGTGTAGGGTGTGTGTTTGCATTTCGGAAAATTCTGAGACATTACGAACGAGGAACCGGTGATTGCGAATAATTATTCGCATTGAATTAGCGGGTGTTTATAGGAGGGGGTGAAGATTGTAACATGTCCTGTGTACATTTGAGGGAAGCGGAAGAGCAAAAACGAGGTACGGTTGTATCGGATCGTGTCCATCTATATATTTTGATTATGTTTTCCTTCTTACTCTATTATTGTATTACCTTACATGTTTAACAAAAGACGAAATGGTTTTGTTGCCATGGTTAATCGAATTCCCAGTCCAGCGCGGTTAGCTCAAATATAGCCCCAGCCTTGTGGCTGCACATATTGAGAGGATGGCGGATCAATGTTTTCGGCAATTTCGGTACGACGTTTAAAATTGTTATTCGCCAGTGTTCTCTAGTGAACGATGCGGGAGTTCAAAAAACTGTGAAAAGAACTTGAAATACTGTGTTGTACTTCCACAGTTATACAATGAACTTATATATGAATGGATTCTATGGTCGATCTTTATTATTAATTCGGTACTCTGATAGACTTTTATGATCCTCCTCACTCTGCGGCCTCTCATTTATTAGACTATATGCTGCTCTGTACAATTCTATTTGTTGGGCACAGATGTACTTGTTTGATTTGCTGCAGCCGACAAGTTATTAGGTTTATGCAATGGGGAAATTTATCGATATATCATGCCTGATTGGCATAGATTGGCATTAATTATCTGGTATCGATATATCATACCTGATTTGGAGAGGTTAAGATCACCTCTTACGGCAGGCGTGAGGGATAAAAGACCAAATTTGCTTACGAAAGGGTGGTTTTGTTTCAGGACAATGCCCTGGAATATGGTTGAAATCAATCTGTTAGCAATTAGTTCTCTTCACACGAGGAAATGAAAAGCACAGCATCCGTAATGTTAAAAAGAATGTCACAAAAGAGTCTGTTTCATGTTTATGAATCATCTGTAAAAATACATTAGATCAATGTGAAAGATTCAAATTTGGAAAAAAAATAATACAAGGCTCCTATACGTTGTTTGATTGTAACGAATGAAAATCAGTCTCCAAAATTTTCAGTCATCCTGTATATCATCCTGTATTTGAATATAGCAAAGCCACGAGAACTAGGAGGAGGGATGTCTTTGTGGTGGACTTTCAGTGAGAAAGTGGGTCGTATTAATGTTACACTCGGGAAAACCCCACGGAAACCAACCATGCAGCCAGGGGAATTTCGCTTGGGCTCGAATCCAAATCAGGTCGAACTACCAGCATTCAGCGCACTTAGACACTGGGCCACTGGTACGCCCAACTCACAACTGTAAAACTAAAAAAGAAATATGCATTTACATTTTATATTTAAATTAAATGAGCCTTTCTAAAGGTAATTTAGTGATTAGAATTGAAAAAGAAAATTCTTTACATTAATGCTATTCAAAAAAGACGAGAAACTGAAGACGTTTTCTGAAAAAAGCAGGTTTCGCAGAAAAACCAGAATTGCATCCAAAGCAGCTTTTATTTTGCATGCGATAAGATATAGAAGACATGGTTATTTTGAGCTGTTAGAAAATAACTAAACTATTAATACGGACATTTGTTGTCATCCTATATAATACGAAGAAGACTTTAACAACCAAAAGACTTGAGGGATTCATCAGTAGATTAAAGTTAAATTACATAATGAGAGAATAATTTGACAAGGGCTTAATTACTCATACTCCTAAGAGTTCACGTACTCATCTTCCAGTTTTACACAAGTTTAAGCCACTGCAACATTCCGTGTTCGCAAAGAGTCCACAGTAATTAGGAAGATGAAAAAGGAATGAATGAATATTTTACAGAAATATCAAAAGAATTCTTTAGAAAGAGGATCAAAAGTTGCTTGAAATGATGAGCCAAAATCATAGAAGATTTTGGATGTTACATTAATAATTAAATTTAAGAGACAATACTTTTTTTCCTATTTAAATTTATTTATCTCGATATTAAATCACATTATACTCAGGCTAAAGAAAATAAATCTGATGCTTATTTTCAAAATATGTTATCCCTGTGTTCTAGGAATAGGATTGTTCGAACCACAGGAAGGAATCTAATTTGATCTATATGAAACTTCCTGGTAACAGAATGAGCTTTCATTTTCCCTTCTATTCATCACAGGTGCAAAAGCTGCTCTTTTTTTTCCAGGCAAAATGTCAAATAATGAGAAAGAGTCTATTTAATTCCAAGGCCTTGTTTTCATTAGACAATATATTGGAGTTACTGCAGTGGCAATAACCTGAGTCAGAAGAGTTAGCTAGTAGTTATTCAATTGATTTATTAAGTGATTTACTCTTGCAAGCATCAAAAGAAAACAAGGTTTCTTTTACGAAAGATAGGTTCTTGCTGTGAACAACACCAATAAATAACAATTTTTGGTTCTTTAGTCTCAACCGCACCCCAACGATTAATCACCAAATATTTCACGGCTTATCGCAACCTATGCTATTTTGAACATTTTCGTGTTCGCATTTGATTCGATTAGACAGCTTTTTATTACATAGTTATCTATTCATTTAGAATTTAAGTCAAAGAACATTACCTTACGGGTCTCTGGAGCTTACCTCGAAATGAAAAGGAGGCAGTTTGCTATTTGTAGAATTACAGCCTACTACGGGAAAATCGAGAATGCGAACTTTCGCACTCATCGAAGCTATACATCAACGAAGATCGCATTTTTTGGGAAGCGTAACGACTGCTCATTCCGAAATCTTATTAGAATGCGCGTAGAAAACTAGTTCGAAGGAAGTCAAATAACATTCACGACAGCTTTATGTTTCATATAATGCTGATGCTAACATCGGCCAAGTTCTGCAAAGCAACTAATAATGGCTGATAAAAAGGTAGTGGATTGGAACAATTATCTCCGAGAGATTTGCGTTCTTGAAATGGCGGCAGCAGAAAAGGAGAAAGTCGGCTGCGTTGGATGCATTATGGAGATCGACAAAGCGTGTCCACGCGAGGCAGAAATGATACAAGAATGTTGCCTCCATAGTGGATTTTTATGGGCATTTGTCACGAAACGAGTAAAACATTTCTTGTAATGATTCCTGATCGTAATGCTACTACACTAATGAACGAAATTAAAAAGAACATTAAAGAAGGAACGACCATTTTTTCCGGACTGTTGGAAGGGGTATAAAGCAGAAGAACTCGAACAGTCTGGGTATATATCCATTGTAAAGTAAATCACAAATATAATTCCATCGATCCTGAAATTGGCACACATACGCAAGGCGTTTTATATTTTGCGTGTATTAAATGGCGAAATAAACAACATCGCGGAACACCTCGAATCCTACCTAGCGGAGTTTCGCTGGAGGAAAAGACACGTTGCAAATGAAATGTTCGATGTCGTTCTAAAGAAAATCACTAAACATTTTCCGCCGGAAATTAAAAGGTGACTATATTCGCCAATGAGGGAAGTTTAATACGAAAGAACTCAAAGTTTGATTAGTAGCAATATAACTTATTTCAATTTCTCACAAATATTTAGGATTTACAATATTTATGCTTCGGATATTCATGCTTGTGTGTTCTCATATACTAAATTTATTTCCCTGTTAGGAACATTGTTATTAATTTAAAATGAGATTAAGGGTATTGTTTTAGAATTAAAATATATGCTCTGAAATCTAATCGAAATTTTAATTTATAAAATTAAAAACAGGCAATAGCCAAGACTATAAAATTTTTATGTCGCATAAACGTACAATTTCTCTACGAATTCATATGAAAGACAGGAACACTCTTGTTTGGATCGATGGAAGGTGGTGGGTTTTTTTTTTTTTTTTTAGTCCAAAGGGATTTGAATCCCGAAGGACTATTAGTTTCGTTTTGGCATTTTGCGTCGGACTCATAAATGTCGGTTCACTTTTCAAACTGTTGCCACAAAATGTTAGAGTCCTGCATTATATTTGAAGAAATTAAATAATGAAAAATCTGCATAAATGTATGTCTATTTCTCGTATTGTGATAAAACAACGGTACATAGAGTCATCGAATTTTGAATAACGTAATCCTCCAACGAATATGAGCATGTGGAAGACCAAATTTGAAATTTGAAATTTGTTTTATGATCGATTTCCTATTTTTTAAAACTTTGACGAATTTTTGATTAACAAACTCAAGGATTTCAAAGAGAGGAATGGCAACGTTGTGCAGAAAAAACATTTTTATCTCCAGCGCGTGAGTCTCTGTATCGGAAATTCTAAAGATATGCTCGTTTTAAAACTATTTTGCGATATTGCTGTTGCACTGGATCTTATGGTTTAAGTGCGAGGAACATGATATTTAATAAAGAAAGGTAACACACAAAATGTTAAAAAACGCCCCTTTGGACGTAATTTAAAATCTGAAACATTTCAGATTTTTTTTCCCCCGGGGGGGGAGAAGTAGTTTATTTCAACGTAGAAAAACGAGTTGTATATAACAATAATCAATATTTAAGGTAAAATGTTGTACATGAATAGTGAAATTAATCTTTTTTTTTTAAGTTCTTACTTGTGGGCAAATTGATGGGGAACTTATTCTGCGTTAGAATATAAGTATGGAGAACCAACTGAGGTGCAGATTTTACAAAGCTGCCAACCAGTGCCAAAAGTGAAGTATCTCTATCTTCTTGCAAGAACATGAGACGATACTGGTAACGCTTGGGATCATTTCGATCACAACTGTGCAATCCATACAAAAACAATTCTAAATACCTGTAACAAAGAATTTTTAAATGTTATGCGGTAAACAAATAAATGAAAGGTCATCCATAGGAAACTGCTATAAAATTTTTTAAAGTGTCAAAACCCTCCCCTCCCCAAAGTACATTCTGATGATTGCACAAGATAAATAATAATAATAATAAGTTAAAATTAATTAACTGAGCATTTTTGTTAACTAAAAAAGTTATATTCCATAGTAAGAAAAAATTATTTCCTGCAGAATACGAATAGGCGCCTATTATAAAATCTGAGATTTTATTTAACTCTAGGAAACAATTAAAAGATTTTAAAAAACTTTGAGTCTATGAGATTCTCGTACACTAAACTCCCAATTAGAGTTTTATTCAAAAAGAAATTTTAACCACTTTATATAAACATATCCAAAGACATCGAAGGTGATCACAAAAAATTAATATTGATTGACATTTGTGGGACATTTATGTTTCATATTTTTTTTAATGTGTGTGACATTATTTTGGGTTTTTTTTAAATGCGGTATGCAGACAAAAGATACCGGAAGAGATGTAATAACAAATGCCGATCAGACAGCTGACATCAGAAGGTCTGATGCGATATAGAGGCAGTTTAATGCAGTGCATTCGCTATTGTTACATAATTTAATCGATTTTTAATTTCCATAATTTTTAGTGGAGTATGCAATTACAAACAGATGCATATAATTAATATAAATTCTTGAGTATGAATTAAGATAGAATTTTTTTAATTATATGATATGAAACTGGGAATATAAAACTAATAATGACGAATAATAACTCTAATTAAATTAGCCTATATGTTTTATATTGAACGCTAGCAAATAGGATGAGCATACGTACCGTCTTGAACAGGACAACTTTTTTCTGACATTTTTCTCTAGAATTACGTTATTTTCACAAAAATGACAGCTTCTTTAGTTAATCTGCATGAAATAGTTGTAGAATTATCAACTATTTAAAAGTGGCGCTAGGTCGAATGAGGCTGCCATTTGTTTACATTTGAAACTCTTAATAGAATAGTGAATTAAGTCAGTTTGTGCAACAATTTCAGCGTTTTTTGCTGAGTGGGATAAAAAATAAATTTTTAATTCTGTGCACCGAAAATTTGGTCTTCATATCCATTGGCTGAATTACTTGATTTGGCGTAGAAATTCTAATTTTAACTGTAAAAAAAAATTTTTTTTTAACTGTTTTAAACTGTATTTTGTGTTTTAGGTTTTTTCTATATTTTACAATTTTTAATGATGATGTTTTGAGTTTTTAAGTATTTTTGCCTTGCCGTGAAATGAGAATTTGAACTGATTGAATGAAAAATATATCTTTAATGAATTTGAGGAAGTAAGTTTAGTTCCCCTACCCGGTTACAGGGATGAAATAAGCTTTTCCTTTCTAAGTGTCACTTCCTGAATATAAATATGAACTTACGGCAGGCTCTTGTTTAAAGGTTACAACAAAAGATATATTAAATTTTAACACTCATAAACAATGTTTTGCTCGTAATTTGACTCCTCGGCATAATTGAAAAAGAAATGAAATAAGCTTTTCGTTATTAAATTTTAATTCTTGAATATAAATATGCATTTTATATTCTGTCTGTTATTTAAAAGATAAAACAAACTTAGTAGTCAGCATTTTTTTTTTTACTAAAGCAATTATCTCGAACAGGGAAACGGTGTTGGTGTATTTAATTATGGCAAAGCACAGAAGGGCTATCTGCCTAAGGGGAGGGATGCCTTCGTGGAGGATTTTCTAAGGGAAACTGGCTCGTATACACGTTACACATGGGGAAAACCACGAAAACGCCCATGCAGCCATCTCGTTCGCGGAATTCGAACCTCGGACCGAACTACCAGTGTTCAGCGCCTTTACCGCTCGGCCGCTGGTGGGCCCGAACAGGGAAACGAAGCAGACAATAGCGCAGCACTAATGAATATTTGAACAGGGGCGTAGCTAGAATTTCCAGCGCCCGGGACAAATGAAGAATTTGCGCCCCTTTCTGCGTGCCAAAAATGGAAAATATTTCATTAAAAAATTTCGTAGCATCAATTTGGCGCCCCTTGGATGCTGCGCCCGAGGACAGATGTTCCCCCTTGCCCCAACCCTAGCTATGCCACTGTATTTGAATAATACACTATGAATATTCAAGGATTTGAAAATGTCTACGCATTTTGGTTCGCCATTTTTAGTTAACTTGAGTCGCATCATTCATTCCTAATGCTCCAATAGATATCGGCTAACATCGCTGCATTTGTCTTTCCTCTGCATCTTTCTTCTGTTACAGTAATTAGTCGATAAAATCGTTTCCCCCGTGTTTCTTTCTGACATTACTACAATTGTGAGGGGAAAAAATTCAAATGAGAATATGTGACATTATTTTCAGGTCCATTCCTTACCCAATCTATTCATATGAGTTACAAGATTCTTCATTATTTGTTTGTAATTCTCCGCTTCGATTTCCCAGAAAATCCCAACATTATTGTCTAAAGGCATTCCATGTTATTTATTCACCATCACTAAGTAATTGAAGTAAGTTTAACAATGGCAGTCAGAAGACTCATCATTCAATCTTAACTTCTAATTGTTGTAAATACACCTCAGATTCAAGATTTAAAGTAAAACATATTAACACATCAACCTGATGTTTACATAAAACAGATACAATAACAGAAATCAACTGCGAGAAATACAGAGAAGCAGCGGAGAATACAAATTAACACTTACCTAAGTAAGCTCTGTCTCGAGCTCCAAGTATTCGGCTGATGAAAATGCGACTTTCCAAAGCCGATAAATCATTTCAAGAAGTAGAAAGACGTAAACAGAAACAGTTAGCAAGCGCTAACAAAAACGTTCATTTAAATTCAAGAGCTCTTGCGATTATGCAACATTAATTAATTTACATTCCGATGGATGAGTCAAAATAATGAGATATCTGGATTAATTAACATAAAATTGAGGTTGCATAAGTCTGTAAATCCCGGAATATCTTTCAATCCGCGGTGCCTTTACAAAAACTTTTCATCAGCCTCAGACCAGGAATAGCAATATGTTCGTTGGATCTAGAGATATATGTAAAAGTGTGGAGGTGAGAAACATAAGAATTTTACTACAGTCAAAAGTCGTTAATCCGGACTCGTCGGGACTTCGGCGATTCCGGATTATCAATTTTTCCGGATTATAGATCATCAGTTTAAATCTCGTAGGATGGCATGCAGAAATTCTAAAATTAAAAATATGAAACCGTAATTTATGAAATAAAGAACAATTATGATCTAAAGGGTATCAACATTTACAAAAAAAAAAAAAGCTTATATTTATTATTTGTTTACTTTATTAAACATTTCTTTCAATGTAAGTCGTTTAAGTTGCTTCGTTTTATGTGATAATACTTTCTCTTTAATTCTATAAACAGACATAATTTCTTGTTCAGTTATAGGAAGACTATAGGAAGTTCCGCTGTTCAAGTCCCCTAATTGCTGTGCCGAGAATACCGACTAACTTGTCAATAGAAATTTTTTCGTTTTCACTAACCTCTCTGTCACCTTCTTCATGTCTTTATCCATTTTTTGCAGCAATCCTACTTTTTGTTTGATGGACATCGAAACATACTTTCGTTTTGTAGATCCTTTGGGAGCTCCAGCATCGGAAATTCTATTTGACATAATGGAAGGTTCAAGTTTACTTTTATAAAATTGCTCTTACAGTCTGCAAAAAATAATAATCCGGATCCAATTCGAAGATTAAGGAACAACGCAATCATCAACATTAACTGAAATAGATAATTAGATAATTTTAGCTTATGCCGTCCGTTATACATAAAATGCGCACGCGAAAACGTATTCTGCGCTTGTGCACATGCATATGCGCAGTCGTAAAGGTCTTACGCGCACGCGTAAACGTCTATGCGCATGTGTCAACGCAGCGCATGCGCAGAAAGCTTTTTGTTTTGAGGTTCGGATTATAGATCATTCCGGATTATGGGTGTCCGAATTAAGGACTTTTGACTGTATTGGTCTATTTTACTATTAGGTGTAGTTTGGCCACAGTAACTGGGCAGTTCCGTCCCAGTTTTGATGGAGAATTTCTGAAGGGAACAGATCCGAGGGTCTTCCACCCCCTCTCTTCTTCTATCACCAATCCCAACAGGACAGGTCAGGAACAAATACAGTGGGCACCATGCCATCGCCATTGACAAAAATGGTATAGCACCCATGCACTACCTCTCTAGCGTACCGCCCCTTCCACAGGGGACCTGATTACGGTATACATAGTACATAGTACTAACAACAAATAAGACATAGCACATCATACTGTTACAACATACTTTGACACATAGGACATAGCATTAACATATTGTTACAGATTATTTACAGTGCAAGAAGTTATGTTCATTATAGAGCTTGTTGGTTTTGTCAGCGCCCCTTCCACAGGGGATCTGATTACAGTCAACATAGGACATAGCACTAACAACGTATAGGACATAGCGCAACATACTGTTACAACATACTTCAACACATAGGACATAGCATTATCATACTATTACAGATTATTTACAATGCAAGAAGTTATGTTCATAGGACATAGCATTATCATACTATTACAGATTATTTACAATGCAAACCAATCCCAACAGGTACAGGTACAGGTAGAAGCTAGGCCAGCACCTCCGTAGTACCACAGGTAATTGAGGTATTGCTGAACCTAGCTAACTGTTAAACTTTCCACCCCAATTTTGAGAAAGAACACCCCGGGGGGGGGGGGTCCGAGGTTCTCCCGCCCCTCTTTTTTTTTACCATCAACCACTTGAGAGGACTTTCTGAGATAACTGAGTTCTGGTATTAATAGTGTACACGAATCATATTGAGAAAAGACTGTCCTTGAAAAGTTCAACAACTGATGCTTCCAAAAGCATAAATGTAAGAATAAATGTCTTTTCTAAGGCGGAAGGTGTAATAAGCAAGTCTTTGGAGCTTCCGTCCATCAGCATTGCCCAACAAGAGGACTTTCGATCGCTAATATTTTAAGTGCCCCCACAAAGCACACTTACAAAAATCCATGCCTTCTTCAAGATTCAAACCTGGGCCAAGCGATATGGCAGTCAGAATCGTTAACCACCGTACCGACCAGGGTGGCAAGTTGTATCTACAGTACAAGTATAAGTAAGGTGAGATAAGGAGTATTCAACATTGGGAATACAAGTGCAGTCCCGCCGCTCTAGCTGTTAAGCTTCGCCCCAATTTTGATGCAGATGACCCCGAGTGGGCAGTTTGAGAGCTTTCCACCCTTCTCCTACCACCAAACACTCGAGAGGACTTTCGACTAGCCGTGTATTTTGAGTTCCCCTTTGCCTCATAGACACTATACACTTACAAGCATCTACGGAAAATTTTCTTAATAATGAAATGGCCGCTAATGTTATTGTTTTGTAGATGAAAATATTTTTAATATGTATTACGCAAAGTGCATGTAAATAAATGATTGTAATGAGACTTTGAAAATGTATTCTATTTGAAGATGCTAAAAATGAAAGGACATAGCAATATTAAGCGCATATACTAATATCCCTATTTAGCTTCAAACGTATATTAATAATAGCATAACTAAGTACCGTGTTTATATATATAGCAAATACTATCGTATTATATAATTATATATATACTGCGTTAGAGCTAACATTGTGTACAGAAATAATGAATGACAGAATTTAGTATGATTGAGAAAGCAAAGTATTTTATAAAGACAGAACTTCATAGTAATAACAGCAAAATCATATCTTTATATAAGAACAATAATTGCAATGAATAGCTAATAAAAAATGAATTTATATATAAGTTGGAATTTTTATAATGCGTCATACACGCGTCATGAAACAAAATTATTGCTTTTCATTTATACCACATTTTGGTTAACTGATCTCACTATATATGGACATGCATGTTCCATAACAATTTGAGTGAATTTTTTGAGTGACAAGTTGAATTTTGAGTGAGCCGGTGATCTAAAAATTGTGTTGTTATAATGCTTTTGAAAGAGGAGCAGCAGAATTATTGAAAATACAAAAATGATTACCATAAGATGTTGCTCAAATCCATTTGGAGCACTATGCGTAAAGGATAGATTGTAGTATGCCGAATGGTTATGGGGAATGAGACATTCTACAAGACAAAACTGAAATGTGAGTCGACTTTTAATTAAAAAATTAATCAGTTCCAGAACTGCTAAGAATATGGCAGCTCTAATGTAGGATGGTGATCGTGTTTATCTTAACGCATGACTTGTAGAGTCATTAGGCTTATCTCGAAGTGGAAAACAAGAAAATACATGATGCCCTAGCCGAGATTCGAAACTCAGAACTTCCCAGTTGTTAGACGGACGTTCCTCCAATTCCACTACGGAGACATGCGGAGAGAAAACACCTTACAATCTTATCTCAAAGATAGTCCATCAATCGCAATATTCTTACGAAATGTACAGGCGCGGTGAGATAGCTTCCCTCAAAGCAGTTATAGGGTTGCCATAAAATGGCAAGTAAATGCAGGGTTGCCGCATTTGGCGAGAAATCGCCCATTTAGAGCCATTTGGCGATATACCATGGACGGATGGAGAACCTTCTGGAACGAATTCTTACCGGTTAGCCCAGAATGTTCTCGAACACCAGTCAAAAGCTATATAAACCCTGCTGGTCCGCAGTCAGTTAATGTGTGTCTCTCATCGAGGGTGTGTCTCGTCGAGAGGGCGAGTGAGAGTGAGAGATAGTCAGTATCGAGTTGGTGTCTCGTCTAGCGCGTCAATCCCTGCGGAGTCGATCTAGTTGACAGTCTAGCAGCGAGTGCCGTGTGGGTCGTCGAGTTCACAGAAGGAGTCTCTTAGTGTATCGCGGTTAGTGCATCGTCGAGAGAGCGTGCTGAGCTCCGGGAACGACTGAACCGAAGAGTCGGGAGCCGTGCTCTGTGTGTCGTCGAGTGCATCGCGAGTTGTATCGTGGAGAGTCTCGAGAGTACGTGGAGTTCCGAGAACGACTGAGCAGAGTCGGGAGTTGTACTCTGGTGCTTTGCAGTGAAGCTGTCTTCACCGTGATAGCCTGATAACCTGGAGACTGTGTCGCTGATCGTGTCAGCGTGTTTATAGTAGTTCATCGACGACTGTAAAACGTGTTTTGGAGCTGTCCTGACAATATGGCAATAAAGTGTGTTTCGATACTTCATCAAGTGTCGTAGCTATTTACTCCAAATCTACGAACCACGTACGAACGTGAAGGAAGAAAATAACGTAACAACTGGTGTCAGAAGAATAAAAAAAACGCAACAATATTAATGTTAATTTTGGGGGCTTAATCTGTGACCATCGGTACAAAAAAAGCAGAAAAATTTTCTCTAAAATAATTTGCATAGTATGCAGCGCAACATGTATAGCTAATTTGTTTGTTCTGCGTGGCTGAGAAGCGCTCTAGAATGCAACGTACACTTATGATTTAATCCCTAATGAGCATGATTCGATTGCTAAGATCAAAGAACTATTTCATGGCATTCGTTTCCGAAATGTTCAGATCTGCTCCATTCCAACTATCAACGGAACAGACGTTGCTAGAGGTATGCTGTAATTTCCACGCTACTGATAACCCGATGTACAAAATGCTGAAGCGCAGAGAAGAATAACATATTTTCTTATTTGTTTTTTCCAACAGCTGTAGTTATAAAGTTTCTAAAATTTGCTTTTAAAATATAGTGAATGAGAAGATTATAAGCCAACTCTTACCTAATGATAGGTCCTAAGAGAACTATGTGAAAAAGTACTCTCATAACCCAGTGGGAGGTAGATACTTTTAAAACGTGAGCTTTGTCCTCTTGAGCATCGTGAATGTACCAACGCATACTAAAGATATTAACAATGAGCAGAGCACAGAGCAAAGATGCGATACTTAACCACCACCACCATCGCCCAGTATTGAATAGCCAGTAGCATAATACAGCTGAGGAAGCTATATCCAACGAGTACGAGAACAAAGATATTGTTGTCAACATAGCAGAAAAAAATCCAACGGCATCTTCGTCACCTTTCAAAAGTTCTTCGTCCATTTTGGAGAATGATGGGCGGTCAGCATGGTCTCCCGTTGACTGTTCTAACTCTTCCGCCTGGCTAAATGTTAGCAGTCGTTGCCGTGATGCTGAAATAAAAATTGAAGCCTTATAAGAAGAATTTTTAAGGTCTCAATAGAGAATAGAAAATAATTAGATAGGAAAATTATTGTTTTAGATCGTCATCTAACAGAATTTTAATGAAAGTTGACATGAATTCTATAGTTGAATTAATGAAGCCGGATTAAAAAAAATCAAAATGAATTAAAATTTCAATTATCAAAAGCATACTTAATGTATTTATTCATTTACTGGCATTAAAACGGTGGCCGAATATGAGAGACAGCTGAAATTCGGTAATTTCGACACAAACTCGGATCCCAGTGAACTGGTTAGTTGTATGAGTGTTTTCATGGTTTATCCATGTGTAACGTTAATACGATTCAGTTTCTCTTAAAAATTCTGCACCAAGGAATCCCGTCCTATTAGCTAGTCAGCCCTCGTGTGTTTAAGCATAAATCACTCAAAAGAAAACAAATGAAACCTTAAACTAGTGTATCGAGAAAAGGAGACAGTTAAAAACCTTCTTCAACATTTGTTCTTACATATACTTTTGTTTTTAATTTTCCAAAATGTATGAAATACACTCTAAGAGTATTTTAAAAAAATGTTGAACCAAGAAGGATTAATCTGATTGCAGCGTAATTTAGTATTTTGTCAGGCAATCAGGAACAATTGGCATTGCATTCTCTAAGCTATTCTGCATAACGTTTATTCGAATTTGATTCCATATGCTCATTTTGAATGTACCAATGTCTCTCAGACGAATTTGCATACATTATGAGTATAATGTCACTAGATAGGAGATGACATGCAATCGGCCTAAAGCAGGGCTGTTAAATGGAAGGATGCCGCCTTTCGAGCCATGATCTATCTGGAAAGACGACAAAGGACGAGAACAGAGCGATCATCAAAGCGGCTGTCTCAGCAACACTTGCCATTATTAAAAATACAAATGCCATTATTAAAAATGTAAACAGGACACCAGGGGCTGCAAGAACCATCGAAAGGCGATTCAGAGAACGAGTTCTGATCTCACAACGATTTGTTGCCTCACCGGTGGGCATCAGTAAGTGCACTGCAGTGGTGCAGGTTTCACTCGATCTGATATCTCATTCATTGGAGTAGCAGTCAGTCCCGTTGAGTTTGAAACAACGATAACCAAAGAAGACGTGTCTGGAGATGTACGGGAACATCGTTGGGATAGTGACTTGAATCTCACCAGTCACACAGCCAAATAAAATGGAGTTACGGCCTGGTGTGTCATTTCATTTAGTAGTGGGATCCATTTGGTTTTCAAGCACACAAGTCGAGCAGCTGCTCTACTATTGCAATGAACTTCTCAAGAAATCGAAGTTTATTCGAAAATTTACTTTTGGTGTGGTTTAGCAGGTTGTAAATTTGCTGCTTACTTACCAAATAATCTTATCAGTATTTTAAGGATTTATGCAATGAGATAAAAATTTCTGATAGATTTTTCTGAATCAGTCATTTCACAGTTTCTACAGCTTTAATGACATACTAAAGCTGAATGAGTTTTGCTTTCTTCAATGTATATCGGTATCATCTAATTATTTAAAATTAATGGATACTCATAGCTTCATTTGTGGTATGATTTCCGTTTTACCGCATTTGAGGAATAAACGATTTCGAAGGCTTTTCTCCTTTAATGTAAACATTAACGATCGGATGTAAGTATTTTGTAATTGCGGCGTAAATATGCATATAAATGTGTATATTTTCTTTTTCTACAATACTTCAGAGTCCTAAGTATATGAAAAGAATACATTTTTAAACAACATTTCATTCTGAACGCAATTAAATGCTATACTTTTCACAGAACAGTTTGCTCAGAATGGTATTTTCATAAGTTTTCGTTAAATTAAAAAAGAAATTTTAAGGCAATTCGATTTTATTCGGTTAATGATTACAAAAATTAAGATCAAAGTTTATTGTATTATTAATATTAAAATTATGCATTATTTCTTTTCTATTTATAGAGCTTCTTCCTAAAATACTTTCTCAAATATGACATGATTTTTTAGCTTCTGAGGCATCTTTTAAATCGAAAAATATAACTCAATTTATAATTAATGCTCTATTCGGTCCATTTCAAATTAGAGCACCTTTTATTTTAATAGCGAAATACTTTAAATAGTACTTAACTTTCTCTGAATATTTCTGAAAGAGAATAAATTATTATTTAATTAAATATTATTTAAAACTTGTAACTGGGTTATTATAAAATGTAAGGGGAATAATTCTTTTAATTATACTTATCAGATTTTTTTACCCTTTATTTCAACAATACATACTCCAAAACTCTTCTTTATTACTTTCTTAAATACGCATCTCATAGAAATTGCTTTACAATACCTTTTAACGGATTGCTTTCCAGTACGAACAATTTTTGCTTAACTAGTTTTATAATGTTATTTGTCAACAGGATGTCAATTTATGTTTACAATACAATGTTAAGGTTATTATATATTTAGATAATATTTATAATCATTATAAATTTAGATAATTTAATAATTATATTTTTTTCACAGTTATTTATGAATGAATAAATCTTTCATTTCAAATACATTTATAAATAGTAATTTAATAAATATTTACGTATTTTGTTAAATGTAAATACATGCTTTTTGCAAGCATATGCATAAATGCCATTTTTCATTTCCGGCATGTGGAAATCTTTAATTTCTGTGCATTCACTATATTTTTCGAGTAAAGTAATTTACACTAATTTTAAAAAAGTACTACATGGTACAATAATATGTGGATGTGAAAAAATTTATTTTATTGAAAATATTTTGGCGTTTGGAACATAAAATAAAAGTAGCGAATATTATATCAAGGGTATCGAAAGATGTATACAATTTTAAAGGTACGGTGAGGTATTTTTCATTCTCACCGTACCTTTAGATTTTAGCATAACATTTTTGCTAAAATCTATATTTTTGTAGTTCAACAGCTTAGAATTTTACAAAACAAATACATGATCAAAATCGCTGTCGTTAGTTATCGAAAAATAACCAAGATGTGATTTTTGCGTAAATGTCACTAAACTATACAAATAGCTGTTATCCATCACACTAGGAATTTTTCTTTTATGCAGAAGTGTCCCGTCTTTCGATTTGTATGGAACTGTCGTGTGTCAAAATACTACCAGAGCGCTGTCAAGCGAGCTTCTGAATGTAGGCAAAAAACACCTCATTTGGTGACCGAAGCTTCGGAGCGATGCTTCACTTCTAATGCCGGTTTGGCCACTCCTTCCTTTCTTACCTCCATGCCTTTTAGATAATTTTATCGTCCGAAAATCCAGAGGAGAAAATTACATGAGTAATTTAACTTCCGAAGAAAGGGGTTACAATAAGAACACGAGGAATGAAAAAAAAATTATGGATATAATTACTGGTAACTGTTACATTATTATATCCTTAAAACAAAACCTACATTTCAGTAAGAATACGTAACAATATTAACGTTACGTATTCTTACTGAAATATAGGTTTTGTATATATTCGGACGTATACAGAGCCGATTTCTGGCAGCAACTGAGCTGATGTCCACCTCAGTTACCTTGTAAAGCTCCCGGGGTAACACACATGAATGAGTTACACGTCGAGCTATTTCTGCTGGAGTCACACAAGAGTCATTATTAGGGCTCACACTGTTTAACATACATGTGAACGACATTCCTCTCACACCCAACACTACACTAGCAATGTACGCTGTTTATACAGCAATCCTTGGCCAAAGTGCACCTGTTAGTCCAGTAATCCAACGATTACAAGAGCATATTCGAGTAGTGGAGACCTGACTGACACAATGGTAAATCCAAGTGAATGTTAACGAAACAGCTGCTATACTCTTCACCAGAAAGAAGAGAATTATGAAAAACCTACAGTTCTGTGGATCTACCCTGCCCTGGGCTAAGCAAGTCCCTTATCTTGGGGTGATCCTCACTAATACTCTTTCATGAACCCCACACATTACATCTATTATCAAAACGTTTTGTGTACGTAAAGCTCAATTCTTCCCTCTAATTGCACGAAACAGTGTTTTATCTATCGACAAATTACTCATTTATAAAGCCATTTTGCTTCATGTGCTCTGTTATGCTTGCCCGGTATGGGCTTACTCCTGCAAGACCAGCAGGAAAAAAATTACAGACTGTTCAAAATTTTATTCTACAACATATCACAAATTCCCGATATGTTAGAAATAACAAGATTCACGATTAACTTTAAATTGTTCATATCAGAGCATATTTTTATTACTTAGCAAAACACTTTCATACCAGACAGCGCAATTTATTTAATCCTGTAATACAAATTTATAATTATGACTATAATCATCTCCACGCAATAGCAAAAGACCATGTCTGTTCTCAGTAACCAAGTTATATGCGAATAAATTGTTTTTGTATATTGTATTATATTTTTGCATATCGTTAAACCTGTATATAGTTATTCTACATCACTACTAGCTCATAAAATTCACACTTGCCATCACCGGTTTGGCGGCTTTCTAGCTTGCACTGTCATAAATCCTTCTAAATTCTTTAGGGAGAAAAAGAAAAAAAAAAGTTACATTAGGAAGAATTCGATTTCTTAGTTTCTTAAGAAGTTAAGTTATGGCCTTAATCGATTTCGAAATTTTTAACTGAGTTACAAAAGGGGCAGTGCACTATGCACAGGCACTCTGGTGTCTAACTCTGGTGTCTCTGGTGTTGTTACCAAGTCTAACATGAATTAGTCTTGACCCAAATTCCCAAGAAGGTAATCGGTTAGGTTAAGTTAGATTATTTAATTACAGCAAAGCCTCGAGGGCTATCTGCCTAAAGGGAGGGATGCCTTCGTGGAGGACTTTCTAAGGGAAACTGGCTCGTATACACGTTACACATGGAGAAAACCACGAAAACACCCATGCAGCCAGCCCGTTCGCGGGATTCGAACCTCGGACCGAACTACCAGTGTTCAGCAACTTTACCGCTCGGCCGCTGGTGGGCAGAAGGTAATCGGAGAAACGAAGAAGAAGGAGGGCGAACGAAAGCCTCGGATTTCGAATGATCGAACACATCATCGTAGATAAGAATACAATAAGCTAGAACGTAAATAACAGAAAAAAAGAGGAAATTACATGCCTGGAAAATTTCTTAAGTGTCAGAAAAACTGTCACATCCGTCAAAGAAGAAGCAGCGCAAAATACATTTAAAATAATAAATGCAAGACAAAATAGATTCGGATGAAATTCTAATACAAAAATGCAAATCCAAATAGAATATACTGAATAAATATAAAAATGATTAAGGAGGATACAATTTCCAGTAAAATAGCTCCAGCGCTAGGCCTCTCGCCGCCCTGTGCAATCACTTCTACTCCTGGAATCTATCACCCTGCATTTTACAAATCTTGCCGCCCGGTGCGGCTGCACCTGTTGCACATGCTCTGGCGCTAGTTATGAATAATTCTCAGAGCGAAAACTACGTATAATAGAGGAAGCGAAAAATTATGCGAATATTTATGAAATTCTCAGAACCTAGAGCTAAAAGGCTAGAGAGTGATATATGTGAAGAAATACGCTATATGACCATTTATAAATATATATATATATGTATAAAAAACGAAAAGGCATAACCATAATTTTGTTTTACGTGTTTCAGTGTGCCTTTTATTATCTGTTTCGGCAATAATTGCATGACATACTTGTTTTACTTGGGTACACTCTGCGTCAGTATATATCAATATTCCACATAAATTGTAAATTAAAAAATAAAATAAGTTAATTTTTTCAAAATTTTCTGCTTAATAGATTATTTTGAGAAATCTTTCCATTTCTGAATTTTGCTTTACCAGCGACTAAACATTTCTATATTATTGCGACTTCAACGTGCATTCATTATGTAAATCAAATAACTGCCACTTACCTAAGTGCTTCATATTATCTGAGTCTTCAAACACGAAACCCAATGGTGATAATTTATTCCTTTACCACCCTGACACATTCAACTATGTCGATATTTCACATATAATTTTAATAGTTATTTTACAAGAACATTCACTGCACATATAATATTTCCTATAAAAGAAACTGCAGTTTATATGCCATAGCAAATGCACTTATTAGACTTAAAATATACTTTTCGAATCCTGCAAGACAATGAAAACGGAAATAAAAAATTCTAGACTGAGTTGCAGAAAAAGAGCATGGATTTGAGATAAGAAGTAGGAATTGTTGCATTGCAGATTTGTCTAATCAAATCAAATGATATCCTCATATCTCTAAAAGTAAATAATATTTATTTCGTTTGCTTAAATTTCTTTGCGAAAATTGCAGCTCATAGTTTCATTTATAGCAATTTATGAAGAGTTACTATAAAAAATTTTCTCATATCAGTTGTTTATAAACAGTTAATTGCACGTAAAGCAAAACGATCATAACAATATTGTCAACGTTATTTCAGAAATTTCCATTTGAATGCAAAGAACTGCTGGAAGCACTTCCGCAGAGAACCCGGTAAATGTAAACATCGCTAACTTTGGCGATAATAGTTCAAACCTGGTAACCCAGCGGATTTATGCTATTCGCTTGTTCGAAGTTTGCAACCATTCTTCTTGCGTTCACTTTATTGAATTATCACTGTCGTTGTTCGCATTTTCAGATTTATATTATTCTTCTCTTATTTATTATTATTATTATTATTATTTTCTGAATTCTTTAACAACGAATAGATAGAAATATTTTCGTAGATAGATGCCGGTTCTCGGTTCGATATGAAAGGAAGAAAATACGGCGGGAAGGGTGAATGCTAATTTGTAACACGGCTGTTCACATTGTGTTCTTAATTATTAACAGCTGTAAGCATGCAGAACTATGAGGTTTCCAACCCCTAAAATAATTTGTTTTCGTAGGCCGCAAAAATATGCATGTGCATTTTAAATAATTAAGTAATGCTTTTATTTTTATTATTGGTTATTGTCATCTAATATTATGAGAATAAATCAATTTTTATGGCGTAAAATTTTAACAAGATAATATATTGTTAATGCTTTTCTAACAGTAACCTTTCAGAGAATGGCAGGTGTGACATAAATAGATGATTAAATTGAAATAAAAAATTTGATTGATTATCTAAGATGGCAGAATAGTTTGATGCATCACCATGGCCATCAAAATTAGCAAACCACTGCTGGTGTAAGGAATATATTGTTTTCTGTGTTAACTGGAATTTAAGACAAATTTTTTTCGTTTATCACGTTTAACCGGTTAGTTTTACATCTACATGCTTATTATCTGTGAATTTTTACTACCATATGCTTAATATATTGTTTTGTCTGCAAACTTGAATTTACATGCACTAAAAATCACGCTTACAAAATTTGACGTTTACGGCTCGGCTCATCGTCGATGAACCGCGAGCTTGGCGAGTAAAAATGCAACGGCGCCAACGGATTCTTTCCCGAAGCGCCAACGGGTTCTCTGCGGATGAAAACCCGAATTGCTATTGCCCAATAAATTCGAAAGAAGCGCAACTTTGCTAAATTCAGTTTTGCTGAAAATCAACGAAAATCAGGCAGAAGTTCATTTCTCAGAATCAGGCAGAAGGTAGAATAGTTCATTTCTCAAAATGGAATTTCACACACACAGACACACCCAAAGAAAAAAAAAAACTATTATTTCCCATGTATGAAGTAAAATGGAAGTATTATAATCGCGAAAAATTTCGGGTATCATACTTCAACTGAAATCGAATAGAAAATACAAAGTAAAATAAACTATTTACTGGAGTTACAAAATACAAGTACAAAATAAAGCATTAAACAAAATAAAATTTTAGGCGAACTTTATATCTTCGGCTTCCGAGTTCGTCGTCTTACTTACTAAGCCAGCCGTTCTCGCTCTAAACAGCAACTTGTATCTTACCTCATCTGCATGACTTGTTCAGCCACGTATTCCCCTAAATTTACGTATTTATACTGCCAAATCTTCACTGTATTGCATTTTCTATGTCGAGCAGTGTACAGTGGAACCTCGAGATACGAGTTTAATTCGTTCCAGCACTGAGCTCGTATAGCGAAATTCTCGTATCTAGAAACAAATTTCCTCATTGAAAATAATGGAAATCCAGTTATTCCGTTCCGCACCCCAACCACACCAACAACAGTTTCTAGGAGCTTCGGATGGTGCTTGTAAGTAACGGTAACTTCTTTGGTTACATAAAGTTTCTTAATTTCTTCCTGCTTCTTCTGAATAGTGCAAATCGTCGATGTCGAAAGGCCGTAAGTAGTCGCCAATTCCGTCAGTCTTACGCCACGCTTGTTTATCTATGATTTTTTTCTTAATTTCAACGGCCATGGCTTCCTTCTTTTTCTTTGCAGCACTATCTGAGGCAGCAATTTTCTTGGGAGGCATCTTGAAATAATTATTTTTCACGTTAAATGTAATAAATAATTGACTCACAACCGCACAAACACGTAGATCAAAGAACACCGAGTGATCTGACTAGGAGATTCACCGAGGCGAGCCGGATCAGGAAATGGCGTCACGAGTAATGAGCCTGGCTCATTGCTCGTTTCTCGAGTCATTGCTCGCATTTAAAGGCAAACGTTTCACTCATACTTTCCTCGTATAGAGAGATGCTCGTATTTCGAGGTTCCACTATATTAAACTTACTAGGAAGATAATATAGTGTACTTTTTTTAAATAAAGGTGACATTTTTAGATTGTGCTCCTTAATATTCTGCTTATAACTTAGACCTCTGCTTTGGTGTCTTTTTAACTAGGGTATGCTTATTAAACCTAGTTTCACTCAATGTTCCAGGATCTAATGATTCTTCCTCTCTCTTCTGCCCCATTTGCAAAAGAACAACAGTATTTTGTGTTGTCCAGTTGAATTAAAAGGAGAAGAATGATTATTTTGATTATTTTTAAATCACTACAAATATTCTACTCGCATTGTTCACTCTGGATACTTTGTAAGAGGATTTTTAATTTCTCATAGGTTTCTTTTATACTGACAGTATGAATCTGAAACTGGTCTCTGTTATTAAGAGTTGTAATTTAATTTACGACTGCATTTAAAAATGTATTATAAAAGGCGGCGGGGTGGGATGGGAAAGAATGAAAAGAGCCAAAATTAGGGGGAAAAATTCTCGCAACTTAAAGTTTGTAGGATCTTACGTTATATTTCTAACAGTTAATTTTTATTTGAGAAACAGCGTTACTCTACTTCCTCATTTTCCTACCTACGCATTCCTGCTAAAATGAGTTTTCAGTTTCACGCGCTTCACATAAAATAGGGTAGAAAGTACTATTTAAGCTTAGACTTGAGCTACTTCAGTTAATTGGGTGGGTGACCACCCACGTGACTGGCCTCGACGTATCATCTTTCTTCAACTAGTGAAGATACATCACAGCTTGTACGGCGGCCAGATGCTTGAACCCTCCTTCTCCAAAGTCTACTTGACCAACTTACGTGCATTAGCAGATGTCCCTGCTTCACCTTTGTAGGTGCGGTGTAAATCACCTTAATTTTTAATTCTTCCCAACGCCTTAGGGCATATCTCCAACAGAGACGGTTAAAGTAGCAGAGACTACTAAATGCCTCCTAACCATTCACTCGATTTCGATTTTTTTACTTCAGTTAAAGCGCGTTCTGCCTTTCGGTTACGTTGTTGTTACGAGTTAAAGCTTGCTATTTACAAGCGTGCTTATTAGTCTACGCCCAAGTGAGACTGTCTGTGAATATACTTACAATTCAATTCAAATAAAAGGGTATTTTAACACTTCTTCTGAGTTGTTGCACAACAAGAATTTAGCGAATATTTGTCACACAATTCTACTAGGTTCTAGCAGTCAAATAAATTTTTAGCTAGAACATATATATATTCGTAAAATATAAAATACCTAACTTTTGTTGCTGTTGTCTTGTCCATATTATATGGAACAGTTGTTGCCAGAACCTACTGCGAAGAGAGGTTGGATTTCTATTTTCCACCTTAATTTTGAGGAAGAGCACCCTGGAGTCTCCCACCCCCTCTCCCTGTCCACCACTCTACACAAGAGGACTTTCGGCTCGCCGCATATTTAGAGTGTCGCCATGCCGCACCGACGCTATACATTTACCAAACATCCAAACCCGGGCCCTACGGTACCGTAGTAGGCTCAGTAGTTTCTCCTAACCACTATAATGTCTGGGCGACATATCTATCTTTTAAATAATAAATTTATAATAGGCCTTTAACTCCCGTCTTCGTTCTAATAATAACAGAGCAATAATTTTTCTAACATCTTCAATTGGTGGGTACATTTCTTGGTTTTCAGTTAAAGAATCATACGGTAATTTACCGTACATTAAATAAGATGGTGGGAATTTTGTCACAGAATTATGGTGTATTCTTCGGTAACTTGAGGTAATAATTTAGTCCATGCAATATTACCTTCGTAGAATTTAGTTTACGTCTTAATCTAATTATAATAGTTTACATCATAATCTAGTTATAATAGTTCGGGTTTGGATGTTTGGTAAATGTATAGAATTTAGTTTACATCTTAATCTAGTTGTCTTTCTACTTTACTATTAGTTTGAGGTCTATTAGAAGTGGTTAATAATTGTTCTACATTGGTGTTTCTCAAAAAATGTTTGAATTTTGAAGAAGCAGCATTTCTATCACTTAACTTCTTTGGTACCTGAATTTGAAAGATTTGTCTTAAACAGTTTATGTAAGTATCAGTAGTTGCACTTTTAGAAGCAAAAGTCCATATATAACGAGTAGAATGATTTATTATAATGTGAATATATTTCTTAGAAGAATTATAATAATGTAAGCCACCAACAGTGTCAATAGACAATAATTCAAAAAGTTCACTTACAGATGGTAGGCCTTGAATGATACCAAATCGCTTTTGTTTATTTTTCTAATTAAACCAACATACTTCACAGTGTTTACTATAACTTATATCTTGAACAATTCCTGCCCAATAATATTGAGGGAATAAGGACACAATATGACCAAATTCAATATGAGCTTTTTCAAGTAGTTTAGTACGAAGATCTAGGATCGTATCTTTTCTTCTGGCATCAACTTCTAAGAGTTCTAATCAGTAATTAAACGTTTTACCAATGGCCATTAGTAATCATAATAAAATAAGAGGTGTATTGAAAAATACACCACACCCGAAGGCGAAATCGAAGTCATGAGATAAACTC